GGAGGGTCCGTTGAGATTTCGTCAGTAGGGAGGGGATAGAGAGGAGAGAGCGGTTCCCCAACTACCATCCACTCATTTTGAGGTTGCGAACCGAGGACGGATGCGCGCGCTGTGATTGACACACTACCCTGATGGCTACCAGTTAGTTGATCCTACCTATCTTGGAAGCCTCACTCCGTACTATGTATGGAGTTTCGATGCGGCGTACCGTACATATATGAGTACATTATTACATTACATACATAGCGCAGTTTATTTGCTCTGCTTCGCTTCGTTTCGTTGCGTGGCAGGGTGGGACTATTTCCTTATCCCGTTCTGACGCTGAATGTCTTGTTATGAATAGAAATCATGAACGAACCATCCGCTATTACTGCTACTGTTGCCATTGCCACCGCTATTACTTCTTTTGCTACCGTGCCGCGCGTGATCCAACCAGGTGAACTTGCTCTCACCTACTGGATATGCCGTGTGAGGTTACTCGTAGATCATGTGATGCCGCTACAAGGATCATGGCATGAATGGAAATGTACGTGTACTCCGCTCGCTCACAGAATATGGATCCAAATTTATGGCCCGAGGTAGCAGGAGACTGACTGCGTGTTTGTCTGTGGGACTGTTTGTCTGATTACCTGCCTCTCTCTCTCTCTCTGCCCCATCTATCCATCGTCTTCGGGTTTCCGCTCTCAGAGCGGCAGGCCGGATTCCGGCTGCGTTTGCATGGTATTTGGGACGATGCAGGACGCGACCGTGGCGGGCGGGTTTGTTTGTGTTTATTTGTTGTTGAGCTGGGGGCCCACGTTTATGCGGTTGGGTTGGGTTGGGTCGGCGGCCATGTGGTGGTGAGGCTGTCGGGCCTGGTTTATGGGTTATTTGTGTCGTCTATAAGTGTAGTACTTGGGCTGTCTTGTGTTATATTCTCTCAGCTTATGGCTTCTGTCGTGTCTTATATTTTTTAACTGGGCTGAACACCGTGTTAGAAATACGAAGTTGGTCCTAGGTATTGGGTACTTGGTTTATATGATAGTGTCTAGGGCTGCTGCGTGTTGTTTTGGATAATCCTTCAAGGGCTGGATGGCGCTGTGTTTACTTGTGAGCTGGCTGGATGGGCGGGCTAGGTGTTGACGATTATTATGGTTATCGAAATATTCATGTCATATACAGATGAGTCAGGTGAAGTTTTGTACATGAGATGCATATATCACTTCTTTCTCATTTATTTCAGACAGTCATTCAATTCATAATTGCATTCGGATTAGCATGTACTAATTAAAATACTGACTAGGCAAGCAAAAGAGAGGTAGTAAAAAAAGTAAACATGCATAGTGGTATCTTCGCGGTAGTAGAATTACAGAGAAAAGCCGAAAAGCGTCAAAGAAAGAATCCAGTCAATGCTATGGCGGTATATACAGGTCCGGCGGGTCTAATTGTTGATGTCTTATGCTAAGGTGGGTTTATTTTTCTCTTCCCATTCATATTCGTGTCACGAAATATTCGTCTCTGGACTAGAAAGTCTTCGCGTGTTTCTACTGTGTAGCTCAGCTACACTCTAATTACGGATAGCCCTTACAGAGTTAGACTAGAACGTAGAGGGAGCATATCTATTGTTTGGTTCGAGTTAGCTGTCGTGACACATCATATCACATGTAATTGACGAGGACGAGGTAGGAAAAGATGGATGCACGGATGAAAGGATAGATAAGTAGATAGGTGGTAGATGAACGCAAGGGGAGAGTAATCGGCTTACCAGACTGAGGCCTAGAATCATGCTAATCCAAAAGAGCACATTATTGGCCGTCTTGTGGGTGCGGACCCAACGCGTGTGCTGCAGCATCACGATAGGAAGCTGGAGCATCTGGCAGATGAAGCCGTAGCCGCGCAGCTTCTTGGTGATGCAGGCCATGATGATCTCGTGGCCGATGGCGGAGACGAGGAAGGTGACGAAGGTAGCATTGCTCCGGCCGATGCTGGGCTTCGAGGTCGCGTACACGTGGCGCCGCAGGAACGAGTACACGGGCACGTTCCACTCGCGGCTGAACTCCATCCAGTCCGAGCAGTTCCACCAGTCGCTGTAGAAGTGGCGGTCCGCGAATCGCGTGATCTCGGCGAAGGCGCCCAGGACATACTCAAATATCACGAGGAACACGAGCAGCAGGGTCAGCATGAAGGGGAACAGCAGCCACGAAATCGACTCGGAGAGGATCAGCAGCCGCTCCGTCACTGACGTGGTGTTGTTGAGCCGAACTGCCGAGTCCTGCAGCACCGGCAAGATAAACTCTTCCGAGATGACGGTCAGGAGGAAGATGCAGCCGAACGTCGCGACGATCTTGGCGATGAGATTGGTCCAATTGATGGACTGGAGGCGCGGGTATTCCAACTCGTAGCATAGCGTGGGACAGAGGATATAATCCAGGTAGTTCCCCCACGACAGGTTGCGGGGATAGGCGACATTGCCGATGGGACTCGTCAGCTCACGAGCGAGATCGTCCCGCAATTGAGACAGGGCCTCGCCGTCGCTATCGCTGTCGCCCTCGATCTTCAGGTCGCCGTGCTTCAGGCTGCCCATGGGGTTCTCGACCGTGGGGTACGCGTAGGCGGGTTCCTTAGAAGCGCTACTCGGTTGGTCCAGGGCCTGTAGCCTCTTCTCCGTCTCGGAGAGATGGCCGTTGTAGAAGGCATAGGAGTGCATCTTCATGAGCAGCACCATGCTGTGCAGCACAAAGAAGACCTGGGCGGTCCAGGTCCAGTTGAAGATGAAGGGCACGGCGATCCAGAAGGCCAGCCATGCGACCTGGTATATGCTCTGCACGGCCATGCCGCCCTTGTTCCAGGTCAACACGCCACGGCTCTTCCTGAAGAGCCTATGCAGAGGCAGGCTGAGAGCGGTGCTCCCGACCATAAAGAACTCGGCAATAGCCAGATGCCAGGGCTTCACGGTGAACAGGCCCCAGATCTGCACGCGCAAGGGGTACCCGGTGTCCTTGTAGTTGCGCAACATGGTGGTGATGCCCATGATGGCTAGGCCGATCCAGAAGAGGTTGAAGAAGCCATGGAAGTCGCGGTAGTCGGAGTTGGGGTCGAAGTGGGAGACGCGCGAGGCGAATTCGGTGGTCGGGAAGAGGCGCTGTCGCTGCTCGGCGCGGACTTGCTTGCGTGCGCTCGACAAGGCCTTGGTCGAGGCCGGCGCGTTCTCGGGTACGGGAGTTGAGCGACCACTGCGAGAGCGTCAGAAATGTCTCTTTCTAGATCTACTGCTGCTACAGGGTAGGGCGATATAGCAGCCAGAGCGTGTGTGGGTGTGTGTACCTAGTCAGAGCCGAGGCTGCCTCGTGCGGTGCATCGAGCAGACCATCGATGGAGCTGCTACTTTGCTGTCTCACGAGCTCAGAAAGTTGCGAGTGCTGGGGTTTGCGGGGACGAGGACGCAGGACATGATCGTGGGTGCCACCGTTGGCGTGTATGTTTGTCGACGACATCCTGTCCTGTCCTATCCTGTCCTATCCCGGTTGTAACAAGCAGCGCCAAGGCAGGAGTTCGTTGTTTCGTCGGTTACACGCGCAAAGCCTCAAACCGGTAAAATCGATGAGGTATGGGTGGACTGCTATGTGTACCTGGTCAAACCGCGCGAAGATCCCGACAACGGCTGAAACATCCAGCAGCCAATGGCAGAGGAGCCGTCTCGTAGCTTAACACCCACGTTTATCAATAGAAATAGGAGGGAGATTGTTGGTCGGTTTGTTGGGGATGGTGCAAATCAATATCGAGTCGGGCGATGCGGCAAGGGTCGATGATGCGTTGGTAATGATGATAACGATGGTGGTAACGACGGTAGATACCTACAGTAGGTAAGCAGGCAGCGGGGAGTTAAGAGGCAGAAGCGAACCGGTCGGATACCAAGAATAATAATCCTGCTGTAGATGGTATAATAGAGATGAAATGTATAAGTGATATGTAGCTAGCTACCTAGCCTACTACTGTGGAAGAGAAAAACTGGGATAAGAGAGGGGAGAAAGACACGCGAGCCTCAAGAAACTGGAAGACAGCCTATCTAATAATTAATTAATCACTTATACGGGCAAGCTGGCCTTGGTAGTTGTTGCCCTGAAAGATAGGTAACACCCGAATGCCTCAGCGCATACTGTAGGTATATCTATTGCGTATACATATATGAGGTACTTAAAGTATGGCGTATGCGTAAGTTGTAGGTAGAATACGCTGGATACAGCTCATACGCGTATATAAATTAGGAAGGATAGGTAGGTACCTATATGATAGATTAGCTACATAAGGTACCTACCCCACATGGCTAGACCCAGGCTAGGCTACCACATTTCCTGAACAGCGGTTCGGTTTCGCGATTCGCAATAGGTACATGCTGCAGGGTTGACGTCACTTAGTAGCTTCGCCGCAAATAGCACGTCCGATCGAAATTCGCATCTACGTCAACATACTTGTGATATAACCACCATCGCAATAATTCAACTTATCACCACGCATTAGGTTTCTTGGGTTCTCAAGTTTGTGTATGGATTTAGAAAGTCCTCACGGAGCAGACCTTCCTGTGCGTAGGTTATTCCCTATGCTCCATGCTTAAGCGTTGCGTACGTCTTTTAGGAACCTAAGCGAGGGTGATAAAAGCAAGAGCCTGGGACTAAGAATCGAGCGGACGGTGATCAATGTCTTCAGTACATGGTGGGAGTCTGACTAGTCATTTGTGAGAGTGTATCTAAAATAAAGGAATGTTTCAAATGTCAATTGAATTCCCTCGTCGGATATGTATTCTCTATCCGGAAACTACGGACTGGTGTCATTTGAAGTCCAAAATATGTAATGTGAATACTTGCTCAACAACGCAAGTGCTATGCGAAAGTTGAAAATTGAATTTTGCTTACTAGCTCTAATACATAATCGGGCGGGCTAAAAATATTGATTAACATAATATAATTAGGCAAAAGAAATGAAAAAGACAACCTCTCTTAATTGAGAGATTTTGAGAAATTAGCTGCTGACGGCATGAATCGAACATGCGTTTGCTCGGCCACAACGAGCCGTACTAACCACTATACGACGCCAGCTTCTTTCTTGTTGAGATTCTGACCCCTCAATTGACATTATAATACAGACATGTGGGTCGCTTTCAAGTGGGTCTAGAATCTGCATATAGCCTTGGCAAACAACTAAGAGCGGTGATCATAGTCGCTGCCCGGCTCGTAAATTTGCTACAATACTGTTGCTTGATCAGATGGCCTGCAACTAGCAGTAATTAAGTTATGAAGGTTCGTAAACGTAGGAATTTACTTCGAGCATCGTCGGTTTATGCCCTGACATACTGTATCAACTATGTTACTAAGATAGTAAATTACCCTACCTAGTTACGAGAGGGGCATCCAAATCTTACCGGTTCTTATCAATCTATAGAGAAATGTTTTACCTAAAATACCGATAGGGGGAACCTTTTTTTGGACACACTGCTAATTGAAGCATCCCTATCTTTGTACTAAAGGGCTAATTTGACATTGTCGGCCATATTGTTTGGATTCTAGTTTTTTGAGCCGGAAGCTATTATATTAAACATGCGTAACGTTACAAGAAAACATAGTTTTATAGAAATATTATAATAAACTGATAAATCTTTTTTTTTTTTCGGTTAGACCTCGCAATGAAAACTACCTACATATAGGTAGGTAGCTACCTATATAGTTATTATAACTGTAATGTATAATACATGTGCTAGATCGACAGGATGTCCTGGCTAGCTAACACTCAAGCGTGCTGAAAAAAAGAGGTCTCATAAGCAGTAAAGATGATTATTAATAGGTTTGATCTATAATAATAATTATGTAGTAGAAATACCCATTTATGCTTGCTATTTATCTCCTAGTGGTTTAGCTTCAGCTCTTGACGTCTCTTTTGTTATTGTGCGAGAACAAGCCGTCACACTACCGGGGGAGAGAACAAAGTGTAAATAAGGTTGAACTCGTGATGAGTTAGGTCTCGCGCCGAAGACCAAGGCGTTCTCATGGGAATGCCTACCTATATAAGAATCAAATGTGCTCTTACTTGCAAACTATAATTCAACACCATCTTCATCATCACTACACTGCTAATCATCAACACTATCGCCATCGCCTATACATCAAATCCTAAGCTATAGGATCATCTCCAGAACCAAGATACGCATCAAGCAAGCACCTGAACATCTACAACCTACCACCAAATCAGCCTGTCCACTACAATAAAACAACACAGCATGCCTTCCACATTAACAAACGCAAGACGGCCGCCCTGCCGCCGCTGTCTCGATCGGGGTAGAAGACGTCGGACGAGGCCAAGGCAAATACTATGGCGACCAATAAGCGTCTATAGCGAGCAAACTACCGACTGTATTACCCACATAGCCGTGCTCTACACCATCAGTCTATTTATACACCACCATGCCAAGTCGAGGTTGGAGGATTTACTAATGGTGGCCATAACCTACGCGGCCATGAACGTAGTCTTAGTCACTACCTTTGTGACCTCCGATATGTTGGGATTTGAGAGCTATGCCGCGGTGCTAAGGGAGTTTAAGGACCGGGTTTGGGGTGCCTGGCGGTCGGTTTGGGCTGCGTGGTGAGATTGCGGATTTGGATGGGGCGAGATGCCTACCTGCTGCTCATATAGTATATATTGAAGAGAGGAGAAGGACCGGGTTGGTGAATTGGAGGAAACAAGTCGAAGTAGGTTAAAATCAGATATGTGGCCGTACCAATAACTGACGAACCACCACCTTGGCGGACCTGAGGCTTATCTCAAGTCTTCATCACACTCGCCATAGCGGACATATAATCATGTACGCAGATGGGCTTTCCAATTTGCAAGAAGAAGCTTAGAGGGTGTTCATACCGCTATACTGCCCCTTTTCTGTGAGAGTAGTCGTGGTTTTGTCTATATATAGTTGTCTATACGTATTGTTACAATAAGTTTGTACAATGGATATCGCTATGCCAAGTGTCTATCTATGAGTTCGTTAACAGTAAAATGTGCAATTCCATCCCGTTTGCTCAGCGGGGGCTATTCCCATGTTATGATATGATTTTACATCCAGTGACGGGATCGGGAAAAGGCTAACCGCTTCCTGTGGTTGCCGTCGTCATCTTCGTAGCGTTTCGAGACAGCTACGGCTCGTCCTCTAACTCCTCTGTTTTAGACCGGTAAATGGCATCGCCGACTGAGCGGTACTTTCTGTCAGCGTACCCCAACGCGACGTCCATCCCTTTAAACTTTTTGTGAATTTTGTTGGGCATCGTCACGTCGACAACCTCGCCTATTATGACAACGTTCTGCCCAGCATTCGGGAGCTCCGGATGTATCGCGCGCACCAAGCGGCAATTCAGTATTTCCAGAATCCCTATAGAGTGTAGACACGGGACTTGGTGCGATTGTCTCAATGGTTCCGCGACGTGGGAACCATCTGCGACAGGTTCTACCTTCTGTGAAGACGCCGAGGCCCGAAGACCGCTCTCTTTGGCATTTTGGTATTGGTCGTGCCACGCATCACGATTCGCGATGTCGATATGGTGGACCCCCTTTTCCTTTAACCCTACGAATACACCTAAGTCGGCATCGATGTCGAAGGCGTATTTTAGGCCCTTCGGCTCCCCGACAGGCGAAGGCAGCACACGGTTACCGCGGGCGAACACGCTGGCGACGCGCACGCCGGTTTTATCGGGGGCTAGCACGTGGACGTTGAAGTCTTTGCACTCGATGAGCGCTTCGTACATGGTGCTGGGCAGCGTCATGTTGAACATGACGTGCGGCCTCGGGCGGATGCACAGGGACGTGAAGGAGGAGGCTGTGATGCCCCGCGCGATGGGGTGGCGCATTTCTTCGACGGGCACGCCGGCGGCCGCTTGGGCTTGGTAGGTTCGGTCGAGGGTGGTGATGACGACGGCGGGGTGAGGGAGTCGTGCCATGACGGCTGTCACAGAGCTGCAAATATCCCGGGCTTCATGGTCGACATGCTTCCTGGCTACTTGTGGTGGCTGTTTTCTGCTGGAGCATGTGACAGAGCTTGCGAAGCTCCGACGTGGGGAGTAAATAAGGGCATGACGTGGACTTGTGGACGGAATTGCCCACCGTAGGCCACGGATACTCTGCATCTCAGTCCATGAACGGCGAAGGGGAGAGGCAGAAGCCAAAACTCGGGACTCGCGGCGCAAAAGTCAAGGCATTTATCGGACACACTAAGATGGCCAGGGCAATGTCGTCAGAAATTCGCAGCTCGAGCTACCCTACAGGGATATAGGTAGCACTACAGAATACCCCCACGGGTGCTGAATGAGCGATAACGATAAGGATCCTTGCTCCCCTGTAAGTGTGTACATATAGGTAGGTACTGTACCTTTTTTGATACCAACAGCCGTCAACGGGCCGATCTCCCAAAATTTCCCAGTATCTCGACATCCAGGTCCAGAAATTTGGTGACGGGCTCCAGACTCCGGGCTTCAATAGCTACCGGCGCAGCAAGCATTGAATTTCAACGACGAGTTCCCAAAGGCGAAAGAGACCGCTATCACGTCCTGTGCACCCTATTCTCCGAACCACAGCGGCATTGGCCTCATCACAGCCCAGTGACCGACCAACCGCCCAACCGATCCGACAAAGTCGAACCACCTCTCCCACCCTCATCCTCACCCACCTACCCTCAAAATGGCCACCAGGCTCCCCAGCGCCCTCCCGCGGCGTCCCACCACAGCCTCACTATCCCTCACCCCCCCAGGCCTCTCCAAGCCCTCGCACACGCCCCTCTCGCGCACCCCCAGCCGCGCGGCGACGCTGATCAAGCGCCCGCGCCGCCCCTACGCCTTCACGCAGCTCGTGCAGCTCTCCGACGGCAGCACGTACACGATGCGCACCGCCTCGCCCATGGGCATGTACCGCAGCACCAAGGACACGCGCAACCACGCCCTCTGGAACCCCAACGAGAAGAGCCTGCAGAACGTCGAGGTCGACGAGGCCGGCAAGCTCGCCGCCTTCCGCGAGCGCTTCGGCCGCGGCTGGGATACCGTCGCCCCTGCTGCTGCCGCTGCCGCCGGCGCGGAGAAGGGTGCGGAGAAGGAGGGTGATGCGCCCGCTGCCGCGGCGGCGGCGGCGAAGAAGCGCGGCGGCGGCGATGCGCTGGCGGATTTGATTTCGGGGTATGCGGTTGGTATGCCCGAGTTGCCGAGCTCGGAGCCGACGAGGGGAAGGAAGAAGCAGTGAGGAGACTACGGCTGAGCCAAACAATTGATTGAAATGGACTATAAAAGCTGCACCATCTATCATAAGAGGGGGTTCGAGTAGAAGACCGGGCCAGCAACTTATGATAAACCTCGCCCTCCGACGTTGCATGTCCCATGTATATCAAGACTGGGCACTATAGAGAGGGACTCTGTCTACGGATTAGGGAAGGCGAGAGGATTTCGTGTAGATATATATATGTACAAACAATCCTGTATAGACTTATCTCCGTCCATCGTCTCCGTTTTTGAATCGCTGATGCTACATCCGGGTATTAATCAGGTGCTTGACAACCTCTGTATCTATGCTTGCTTAGTCCGAGTCCTCGTCAATGGTAGCTCTAGCCCGGTCTACGGCAGTTTCGCCACGACCCGCGGCCTTGTCGGTAGTTCGTATGACGGGCGGGCGGTAGAATACGGTCTCGTCATCCTCGGCATCCAGTTGCATCAAGAAAGTTTCCCACTTTTCAATCAACTGTAGTCTAGTTAGCATCGTGAAAGAGTTAGGAACAAAAACGGTGGCTCACCTCCTTCTGTGCCTCTACTGCACTTTCTAAGAATGTCTCAACAGAAGACTTGAAATCCTCAACCTTTTCACGCTCGAATCGGTCAAGCTCAGCTCGCATGAGCCTGCCCATGTCCTCGAAGAGGAGCCGCGCTTGGTGCACTTTGCGTTCGGCATCGGCTACTTCGGCACCAACTTGGTTGAGGCGGTCTTGCTGGGACCGACCCTGCCTTAACAGCTTCTCTTGGCTAGTCTTGCGCTTTTGCAGCTCGTTTTCAGCACTGTGCCACGAGTGGAAAGCCTTTTGACG